GAGATGGACCATTTGTGTCTGGGGAGGGTTTTTTTTTGCTTATAACTATGTGATTGGTAAAAAGCCTAGATTCCGTCATATTCATTCCTGGTATCCGTTTAGGTTTGGAAATGTAGATGCAATGGAGGCATATTTTCTGCCGTAAGAATACTTTTGTTTGGAATATAACATTGATGTGTTTTACACAGATGACAGCCCTGAAGTCTGCAAACAAGGAGCTCAAAGGAATGATGAAAACCGTGAAGATTCAAGATATTGATGTCAGTAGTCTCTTTCTGTTTTTGTTCTCTTGCTTCCATACTAGCTACGTTTGAAAGCATATCTTTCTAACATTTGAATACTTGATTGTTGTAGAATTTGCAAGATGAAATGATGGATCTGATGGATGTGAGCAATGAAATTCAAGAGACCCTTGGCAGAAGCTATAGTGTTCCAGATGACATTGATGAGGAAGATCTTATGGGTGGTAAGCTTAGAAATCATTTGAGTTCCCAACTATTGAAAAAATACTGGCTTCAGAATTTCATACATGTTCGAAATCATTCTGATCGATTTTGGACAACCAATCTTTAGACTATAGGCTATGGGAGACCTTGTTCATCTTGTGTGCTGCTAAGATCTATTCTGGTCACATTCAAAGCATCAACATATATGATTCTGTGTTCTGATGGTTCTGTTTCCAATTGTCTTACTGTATTCTCGATTTGGCGTGCAGAGCTGGATGCTCTAGAAGCAGACATGGGTATGGAAACAGAAGCTGATGGGGTTCCCTCCTATCTCCAGCCTGATGCTGAACCGGACTTGGATGCGGAGCTCCGCTTGCCTTCAGCACCCACAGGACAGGCAACAGCTCCGGCTGGGAGATCCAATGCCCAGGTATATATGCCTTGGTTTTGTTTGCTGGATTGGATGTTTACTTTGTGGTTAGAATGCCAAACGATCAGTCAAACTCTTAACTTTGTTTTTTACTTTACTTCATAATGTTCATGAACAAAAGAGGCAAGTCTTTGGCCTTGGCTGACAATGATTCTGCATTGACATGGGTGGTGGTATCGGTAGTTGCACTTGCATGCTCCACATCATTGCCTTCCGTTATGCTAATTCTTGTTTAAAATCCAATGCTGGCAGGCTGAGGACGAATTGGGTTTACCAGCTGTCCCTCGGGCAACACTTCGCGGCTAGGGTTTCGTTGGCTCTATCATTTGCGCATGCGGGACGGGAGCTGGATGGAGAAGTAACAACTCTTCTATCAACATATTGTGCAGAAGTGAATATTCATTCATCTGTTGTTCAAATTCACGTATATTGTGGTTGGCTTTTTTACCTGAACAGTTTGGTTTTCAACTTTTCATAATAAATACGATTGAGATTTATGACGATTAACGAAGATAATCGCACAAAAGTGTATTTAGGCTCGGATTGGTTTGGTTCTGAACTAGACCGGACTGAGCCACCAGAACTCGTGCCATAAATTGTCCCGCGGCCACCGTAGTTATGTCTGAAATCTTGCCACCGTCGATTTGGCTGAAATCTTTTCTCGATCACTGGCAAATTTCATGTCACTATTCGATAGGGACTTAAGGGAACGAATGTGCAACGTTTTCATCTTCAATAGTAGTATAACTTATGGTTAGATGATGAAATTTAAGATTATTAAAGAATTTTAAAACAATAGAATTTTATTTTTTAGAATTTGTGAATTTTCTTGTTTGGTTAACCTATCACTCTGTTTGGGATGAAGAAATTTAAGATTATTAAGGAATTTTAAAAGACTTATTATATTAACATCCCACAAATTGTTGAATAAACCCCACATTTGCTTTTTCAATTAAAAATTATCTTAATACACCCCACATATTTCCTCGTAATACCCTCACACCCCACATTCTTAATATACACTTTACATTTTCTACATACAACCCATATTTTTTATACATCCCACATTTCTCAAATCTTATGAAGCTTTTAATTTGGACAAAAAATGGCAACTATAATTTTGACAAAAGATGCCGCCTGGGATTTAAAGCATATGTGAGTTGTTTTCAATTCCATCATTAAAACCTGTGTTGTCTGTTTTTAATATTTGATGCTAATTTTAGTTGTTTAAGTCTTCATGTAATCCCTAAAAGATGAATACGAACCTAGAAGCTTGAATAACACATCAAAAGCAAGATTAAATAATTATCGATGTCGTCAAAATCACTAAGACAATAAAAAAAATATGAAGTCTTACCTCATGTGAAGCTTCCGAAACATCAATTTCATGTTTCATTCGTGTAGTGGATAAGCATAAATATTGAAATTCAAACTCATCTAACGGTGATAAATAGAGTGGTAAGCATACACCACACTAAATTGTGGTGAGCAAAAATGCACTCTAAATGAGTACTCAAGAGTGATGGTGGGAGTCCCTAAATAGAAATTTCTATTGGAGATGTAAAACAATTTCACCCGTTAAGGAAGGACAATGGCAATGGCATTGAGTTGCCTTTACTATTCACCCGAAAAGTAGTTGACTCTGTGCAACTCCCTCAGGTGAAATTTTTTATAAGATTCTAGACTATACACATAGTGCCACATGTCCTTATCCAATCTTATGACTTCCTCGTATTAAGTCATATATAATCGTAAGGACCAAGGGCCTTGAAGAGACAGGGATAGTAACTTGGGAATTACTCAACTAGGAGCAACGGAATCACTCGACGTTGCTAATTGTGGATTCACTCAACATAACCAAGCCTCACACTTGATTTAAGGAAGGAGAAAACTCTCTTCTTAGATTACTTTTTTTTTTTTTTTTTAAATTTTATAATTCACTTCTTAATCTTACATATAGAGCCCTTTAAATAAGGAGATACATGTTCAAATATACAAGAGATAATTAAAACTAAAGAAAACATATTGTAGTTACAATGCAACCTAATTAAGAAAGCCTTAGTCATGTTCTTTGAAGAATGAGAAGTCACACCAGCCATCATAACTATTTGTGGTGGTACTAATTTATCATTCACTGCATCAATATATTAGAATATCTCCAAAGGAAATATAAAAAATCTTACATACCATCTTGATAAACAAAAGGTGGTTTTTTGGTCCCAAAAAAATGTCAAAATTTTAAAGCATCACCAAAGGAGATGTCAGATATAGTATATCAAAATTTTATTTGATGGTTGATGTGGTAAATTGAATACAAGTGCTAAATTCTCTTATTTTCCAATGGATGTGTCAAATATATATTTTATTATTTTATTGGTCCTAGAGTTACATTAACTATTAAAAAATAATCAAAATTAGTTTTAGTTTGTATTCTATTGGTTGTTAATGGGACCCATGCATTCAAAATTAAATTTAATATATTTAATTCTTTCTTTATTTGCCATCAAAAAAGGTAGCTAGAAAGCAACGAGTCAAATGACTCACATGCCACATCATATGACATATCCATTGGAGAACACTTGAATGTCTTTTAATTCTATTTGACATATTTGACATCTCATTTAGAGATGATCTTACATAAATTGATATTCTCCATTCTACCACCAAATTTGAAGACATTGCCAGTATTATTATTATTATTATTATTATTTTAAATGCTAGGCCCGCATATTTCTCTACATTCTTCACTTATTGATTATTTCTATTAAATTCTGACCAATTTAATTTTATTTGTAATTAAAAAGAATTTTAATTTGACAAGGGATTTTATAAATTGTTAAGTTGCTACATAAGCTATAAAATCTAAACTATATATTAATAGAACCTTAATTGTTAACCAAGGTTCCATAAAATTACCATTCTATTCTTCTAATCAAAACTAAATAGAAATAACAAACATGACTGTAATGAATTTTACTCTAACCAAATTTTACTTTTTTTAAGCTTCCCTCACATGTGATTCTAATATTAAAAAAATCCCTTCGCATTCTTACGTTCTCTCCCACTCCCTCTCCTTTCACTTCAAATATTAAAAAAAAAAGTCCTCATACACTTTTTATGTGGGCATATGCTAGTAAATTAACATTTTAAGTTGATATCTCTATTAAGATGCTCAAATATAACATGAGGAGTTTGAAACTCTCATTTATTTTAATTATTATAATAGTTTCGAATCATCACCCCTCTTTCTTTATATACCTATTTTGGTAGAGTAGAGGACTGCACCCTTGTGTCAGTGGTTCAAATTCACTTCAAAACGGGGCGAAGAAAACATACTTTTGGAAAGTGGTTCAGGTAGCTCTGCTAAAAACCGGTAGTATACTTTGATTGTGGGCTATAGCCATTCCTTAAAAAGATGAGTGTTGCGAATATGGCTAAAACAACGGATACGTTCTAAACCGACCCTTTCATAACTTATTATATCACCCACAATTCACTTCACTCCCTAAAGATGGATTAAGGCTAAGGCTACTCTCGGTGGGCAAGGAAAGAGATATTCAATCAACCAAACAAAAAACCAATAATTTCATATTCAATAAATAAATAATTTTATTGTAGACTTCAAAGAAGAGAAAGGAGTCATTCGCCAGCGTAAGGAGACCCACCGACTCACCGAGCGACGCTCTTTCTCCCCCCTCTCCGCCCCGCCCTTAATAATAATAATTTAAAGAAAATATCTTCTTTGTATGTTTTTTTGGTCAACATGCATTTTCCGTTTAGTCCAAGTTTTGCGCATGAAGTCATCTCGTTTACAGCAATTTTTATCACTAAATAATTGACAATCCAACATTTAATAACCACGGGGCCACGTCACACACGGCCCACCTAGCAGCGTACGGTTACGCTCCACAACTAGAAAATTACTGCGCAATTTTTACCCTGGCAATTAGCAGAGAGACAACAAAGAGCGAAGCGAAGTTATCTTTTTACCATTTACCACTCGGTTACTGGAAAGAGACAGCCTTCAGAAGTCCTTCCACCGTTGAAAAGTTGAAAGAAAACGGAGAAGCCAATTAATAGCTATATTTCCGTTGGAGAGAGAGAGTAAGAGGGGGGAGAGAGAGAGGGAGAGTTTTTCATCGCACATTGCACAGCACACGTTCTTATTTGTTAATCCCAACCAACTTCTCTCACCTACTCTCTCTCTCTCTCTCTCTCTCTCTCTCACAGAGTAAAGAAAAAAAAAACGGATAGAAAGTTCATCAGCTTTGGTACCAAAGACTGCATCTTTACGGACAGACAGTTGCATCTTGCTTCACCAAGACATCATTTTCCAGGAAAATGTGCTGACTTTCTCCCATTTTCTGGGGAAATTTGCCGAAAACGAATCTGGGTTGTGCTTAGAATTGCTTGTCCGACAATGGGTAATCGATTTATTTGCATGTCAAGGAAGGACACCAAAGAAAATGGATCGAGAAGCAAGAGAATGAATCGCTCGCAGAGGAAACTGATCGCGGAGGAAGACTTGCTGCACAGGCAAGCTCTGTCTATGGTTCTTCAACAACATCAATCGTCGCAGAGGTTTGACGGATCCATGTCCAGGAGGATTGGGGGGTCCACAAGCTCCAGGAGACTCGCCTCTGATCCATTGACTAATGTGAAGCAGGTTGATTTCCACTTTTAACTTTTCATGATTTTGATCTGTGATGAAAGTGTGTTTTCATGATTTGATTTAACCAGCTTTTTGCTAAAGCTAAAAAGTTCTTAATCATATGTGAAAATCAACAGTTAATCAATCATCAAGTTAAAGAAATAAGTGGCAAAAGTAGGGAATTATTCTACTGCGTTACTATGATGGTTTGAAAAGTGCTTATCAAAAGCAGGTCTACTTTATGTGGATTGTGCACTCATAGATCTTGAAATTTTATTATTCTACTGCTTGTCTTTACCTAGAAGAAAAGGTGTGTTTCAAGACTCTCACTTTCTCTTGATAACCAAGCAACTTTTACTCATTATCCCTTCGTTAGCTAGTTGAGAGCAGCGCGTTTATGGTATCTAACCAAAATTAGTGGCACAAAGTGTGATTAGTCTGCCAAATCCTGGGGGAACTTTTACGAAGAATTCAGATCCTTCCGTTATGGACCAACTGAGTCCCTTATTTTCCCCAAAGTTGCTAGCACCATACCGTTAAACAATTTTACCTCCCTTTTCAGGAGGGCGATATTTTTCTATAAAAACAGAAAGCAGTTACGTTTATATTTGGATTGAAGCTGTCCTAAAAGATTTGGCTGTACGGGTCACAACCCAGTCCACATCGTAAGATATTGTTCATTTTGGGCCACGCCCTCACGGATTTGTTCTTGGATTTCCACCCAAAACGCGTCTTACGGAGGTGAGCATGTACATATAAGGCACATCACCTTCTCTCCCCGGGTAATGTGGGATCTCACAGTATGTCCCGGGTTCGTCACTAAGCAAGATTCTGGAGGCACCCCTTTATAAATTTTGTGCCCTCTGTATGATGTATATTAGGTCCTGTGGGAAAGTGTACTTATTGACACTGAGAATAGAGTTGTTTGTATTTGAAATTTTGATAGCCGTGACATCGTCTGGTCTTTAATGCGTAACGTGTTTATGTTTTGTTTTGTGGGTTTTAAAATTTACACAGCGTAAGGTAATCCAGTCGTCCTCTTTTAGAACATAATAATGCACAACATGGTTTTTTAACAACTCTCAACGTCCATAAAATTTTCGACTTCTTGCTGTTCCTTTCTTTTGGTTTCTAGTCTGCTTCCTTTTCTAATTTTTACAGTCAAGAAACTTTTGCCATAGCAATTGACTACCACGAGGACGAGGTCATGCACCAGTTCATGTTCATCCTCCCTCGAATTGTTGGCATGATTACTGATTTCATATATTTTACAGGGACCAGAATTTTTGGAGAAGCTTACGTCAAAAAAGTTCATTCTTGTACATGGAGGAGGATTTGGGGCATGGTGTTGGTACAAAACAATTGCTCTACTAGAGGAAGCGGGATTGCTTGCAATCACTTTTGACCTCAAGGGTTCTGGTATTGATCTCACAGATACGAACTCTGTAGCTACGCTGGAAGAGTATTCGAAGCCTTTGATTGACTATCTACAAAATCTTCCAGAGGATGAAAAGGTACAAGCTGATATGTTCTTCATTCCTTCACTGTAAGCATCTAATATATTGTCAAATCTTCAATGCTTAATACTTTAGTGCAGGTCATCTTGGTTGGTCACAGTAGTGGGGGTGCCTGTGTATCTTATGCACTGGAGCACTTTTCTCGGAAAATTTCAAAAGCGGTTTTCATCTGTGCTACTATGGTGTCTGATGGCCAGAGACCCTTTGATGTGTTTGCTGAAGAGGTAGATCAGTTAAGCATTTGTTGTGCATGCCTGAAAATTGTAACGATTCAGCATATGCCACGATTACTTCTATAAAACACCACATACTTCATCCTTTTTCACAAAATTCCAAGGTGTTGCAACTATTTTGTGCCATCACGTGCCTTGAACTTCATATTGTTGAGAATTATTGAATCCATCCAGCAAAATTACTTGCATAAGAATTCCAATTGAACGAACAAGCTTATAGTGAAATTGTTGTGTGTGGTGTCTGTAAATATATATATGGTAATGCTGCAATGTATACATGTGGAACCTCCGCACACTGAAGAGGATGTTTGCATCCTTTCACCTTTGTTCTACAAAAATTCTCTTTATATTCCTATGAGTGATGAAGGTTATTGAAGTAACTTAGGAGAAAACTAGTTTTTCCTTTTCAAGGAAGCCATTTTCTTCCCCTTATTGGCATGTTGCCGCTTTATCCTTCAGTAGCAAGCCTGCCTCTTTCTCATGGGTTAAATTAAATTACTTGCGTATTTCATTCTTTCCATTTACCCATTCTATTTGCTACTAAATTTTGTGTTGGGGGTGCAGTTCACTTAAAACAGTTTCATTTCTATATGCTCTCCGATTTCGTGTTCTCAAGAAGGAAATCTGTATTGCAGCTTGGTTCTGCAGAACAATTTATGCAGGGATCAAAGCTTTTGATTCATGGGAATGGGAACGAAAAGCCTCCTACAGGATTCATGTTTGAGAAAGAGCAGATGAAAGGGTTATACTTCAACCAATCTAATACGAAGGTATGTTACAAGTTACAACTAAACTAGTCTAAGCTTTTCGATGCTTATATTATCTTGGTATTTTTTCCTCATTGTAAACAGCATGTGCTTAAGTTTTGCAAATTTTGCGAGCAGAATATTATTCACAGTACCTCCAAAATGTCAACGAATGTTTAACCGCTTTTTTGTAATTTTTATTACGCCTTAGAGCTAGTTTGGTTTTCTCTCTGTGAAAAAGAAAACCATTGAGCTTGGAAGAGATGTTTGGTGCTACTGCTAGATCTTGTTTTGTGTTGTCCAGACCGGAAAGAGAAAGGACGAAAATGCTCTGATTCATTAAGTGTCGATAGCTCTCTCCTTACAGACCTTAGATTGCACGTAGGCCATTGTAATCTCCTGCTTATATGTAGCTCAGTAACGACGAGTCGATACCTTAAGGCACGATTATATAAGCGAGTCTTCTTCGTACTTTATAAATATTTTGTAGCTCATTAACAATGATTAGTCTCCATTAATGTTGGACAATAAGATATAAGTTGTGTGGTTTTACTGGAGTTTCTTTACCGTCGTAGAACCTTATGTTTTTTTTTAAGTTGATTTAACATACCATTACATAATTTTAACGGAAGTTGGTTCATTTCCAGGATGTTGCTCTGGCCATGGTTTCCATGAGACCTATCCCACTAGGTCCGATCATGGAAAAACTGTCTTTGACGCCTGAAAATTATGGAACTAGCCGGCGGTTCTTCATTCAAACACTAGACGATCGGGCACTGTCACCAGATGTCCAAGAAAAGCTAGTGAGGGAAAACCCACCGGAGGGAGTGTACAAGATAAAAGGGAGCGACCACTGCCCGTTCTTCTCAAAGCCACAATCATTGCACAAAATGCTGGTGGAAATTGCTCAAATTCCGTAGCTTCTTCACAAGTATCACGAATGGGATTCCTTTATTTTACATTCCAGTTACAGAACAAAACATAGATGATTGAACAGTTCTCTACGAAGTCGAAGGCCATAGTTGTATGTAGAACACGGCGGCCGAATTGGATCCTTCAATTTCTTTTTAGTTAGCATATAGATCAAAAGAAATTCTCTGGTTATTTTTTAGATGTCTCATGGTTTCGTTGTGTTAAGTTGAGGGTTATGTTCCTCGTTCTCATCTCGTCATCGCCGAGCATTACTCGCCGGTGGTGAGTTGAAGCTAAAGCAGGACGGAGCTGCTGCTGCTGCTTTAATTTGTTTTGTGCTAGGATTGATCAGGTTTTAATTGCAGTGGGCTTTATGGAGGCTTGAATTTGAGTTATTTTTCAACGGTGTTTGGTTGTATACCTTGAAAGTTTGAGTACATCTTAAAGTGCAAAACCGAGGCCAAGCACATCCCTTTTCTTTTAACGTAGATAATATCATTTGTTAAAAAAAAATGCAAAATCATAGCTCATGATTTCTCTTCACAAAAGTATTCCTTATTACATGGTACACATCATTCATCGTCATCGTTCGGTACATAGAGGTGGATGTTCTTAGACACTACCAGTCCGCCAAGTACACACAACAATCGAACTAGTAATTTAGGTGATGAAATTCGTCACCAATTAAACTGTACATATGGCATAACGATAAAGTCGTAAACTGAAGATAAAAAGCCAACCATCTCAAAAACTTTTGTCGCGTTTGCAGCGGTTGTAACTTGGAGCATGCTGCATTCCTTCCATCCGGCACAAATTGGATCATACCACAAGAAAATTTGGTCTGCAATCCCAAAAGGTAAATAAATAAATTCATGTGAGATTGCAACCCAGGGTTGAGAACCACATCAGAATAATAACATGTGGACATACCGTAATTTGGCACAAACAAAGCTCTCCTTTTACGTATGCCTCCATTTTCATGATGTCTTCAGTCGCCTTAAGCCACGATAACGGAGATGATTGCCTTGAACATATGACGAATAGTGTTCTGACTGAATAATGTGATCTGCTTCGAACAGGGTAGCAAACCATTATAATCTACAACTACCAATCACAAAATAGCATAGAACCTTGATTGAAAAACATATCCACCCCGATAAACAGTTGCAATAGCCATAATCTATGCATTTGATCTCATACTTGAGATGTATGTAGGACAAAACAAAAGATGCAAGTAATCAAGCACATACCAGCCTTGGATGTTCTAAGAACCCGACGATGATTTCTGAACCCACACTTGTTTCTGCTAGTGAACGGTGAAAGATTCTTACTACTTTCAGATAAAAGGAAGGTTAAATAAAAATAACATTGTAATCAACATGGCAAGAGTGATGCATACCTCGGGGGCACCTTGACCAGTAGCACCTCTTTTAGATGGCTTCCCCTCACCTACATTTTGAGAACCATCATCTTTCATATTATGGCCTGTTCCACGGCGACCAAAATGTCTATGCGAACCTAGACAAAGTATAAAAGTCGGTTTAGCAAAATTTTTAATCACAAAAAAACAAGTGTTAAATTAAAAATATAAACAAATGACATTTTATAAGCTGTTAGTATCTTGGTTTGAAGATATAACTAACCATTCTCTACATGAGAACTATTACGTCCACTTGTAGGATTTATAACTTCCCCAGTCCTGCTTCCATAAGAAGAGTCATCCTTCCCTTCTCCATAGGGACCTAGAAAATCATGCACAGATAGTGAATGTAGGTTCCCAGATGACAACTATCCAGTATTCCTCCGTAAGACTAGGCATTCATCCATTGAGTTTTGACCCAAGATGATTTAACACAAAAGTCATGTTCCTAAATTAGACCATTTATAGACTCACAAAAGCCTACGCATCCATTTACAGAAACAGCCCATACCTTCAATGGAATCAGAGAGCAAATGAGGGCGTTGTAACCCGGAGGATAGTAAATGCTCATCACTAGCATGTGAACTATCAGCACGACGAAGAGGAGCCCAAACACCACGATCAGGTCTATCCTTGTTTCGTGTATTTTTTTCTTGCCTCTCACTAACACTAGTTGTACCATGCGTGTCCTTCTTCGTAAATCTATCAACTGTTCCCCTCTTTCTATCCCCTTCAGAGCTCATTGAATTTAGTTCATTAGTAGAGCCATGACCATTCAACCCTAACCTTGCATTGGAAGGCCGAGATACTCGCTTAACATCTGCGTTCAGACTCTGAACTTTTTGCTGAGGCTGAGTTTCGGTTGAAGTTTGACTTTGGCGTCCCTCATTGTTTGAAAGTATGCTTCTGACCAATCTTCCACTAACCTCACGCCCTTGGTTCTGCTTCGGAGCATGTGAAACAGGAGAACTTCCAAGTTGTGACATACCCTCAGCCTGGGGGAAAAAAAATAAACATCACAACCTAGTCAAAATGATAAAAAGACTGATATAATAATAGATCATGTCCATGTGATAAATTGAAAAACAGTATAATTATCCGAATCAACACAGTCAATAGAACTTACAGGAGGTATTTGACGCTCTTTTCCTTTAATAAGTAGGATTTTCTTCTTTCCAGAGTCGGAAATCACAGGGATTCCTGAAACAGAACCTTCATTGACAGAAATTTCAAGTTAGCAAACATAAAAACGCAGCAGAACGATATGAAAAACGACGCATATATTTTCTTTTTGTGGTATCTAGTTTAGTGTGTCAAGATGATTGGAATTCATTCTCCCCAAATTTCAGTCAAGTGAAAACATTAACTAAGATGGGGAAAACCTTATTTCGGTTCTTTTAAAAAAAAAAAAAAAAAAAAAAAAACCATTTCATATAGTATTTTTCATATTGGAAACTTCAATTACATGATACATTACTTATCATTCTGCGCTAAGTCAAATTTGCAGAGCTATCAAACTATTCTTTAGTTTAGGATTGTTCAAACTTACAATCAGCAATAAACACAACAATACTCAGAGGTAAATGGGAAAGTATCATCAAGAAAAATACAAGGAAAACTAATAATAGAGATTTGGGACTTGCTGGAGAGGACGTAAGTGGGGATTCAAAGGTAATACATGTCTGCCATCATCTCAAACTAGGGCTGTAAGTGGCTGCAATTCAGCATGGATAAAGCATGAAGAGAGGTCTATATTTCAGCCAGATCACTAAAGTAATATCCAAATTTGGGTCCACACAACAGTTTTGACAACTGCATTCCACTTAAAGTAAAGTCCAAGAAAGAGATCAACTTCCAATGTTTTGAAACAATGTTTTCATCTAAATAAATGATTGCTCATATAATATTTCATTTAATATAAACTTCATCATGTAAAATTTAAAATCAAGTTCAGATCTACATCTAATGATTCTAATCACGTTTACATAATCCTAAATTTGACCAAACTATAATAGGATTCAGAAACAAATTTGAGCTTGAACCATAGACTTTTTCTGTAAAATATTTGAACCAAATTGTATCCAACCAATCTTTGATCTGGCCATTGACAGCCCTATCTACATGACTAACCACTCAGGAAATTTGGGATTAGGTATACTTCGCACACTAATCGCATACTATAAGATATTATCACTTGCAACCAACAATACTGGAAAGAGTGACCAACTCCGAACTAAAATTAGAGGCAGAAATTCCTTCATGCACATAACAACAGAAATTCACCAGTTGTTTTAAATTGAAAACATCTCCTAGGAAAAGAAACAACAAAGATCAACAGAAAAAGAATACTAAGTACCAATTTCATTTTCTAATGTTTCTTTTCCACTAGAACGAGCCAACTGATCCTCTCGCCTGGGCACCACATTGAAAGTGGACTTCTCCCTTCGACTTGTCTGTTTAGTACTGTCCTTCATTATGTACTGTGTCAACAAAAGGTCATTTGCAATTCTGTTAACTTCTATATATACAGACACATGTGGTCACAGGGTAAAATAGAAGAATTGGTAAACATAAATAAAAAACAACAAGGGATCAAGGGCATATTTTGCCTCTACAAGGAGAAATCATAACTGAAAGGAAAGGTTCATTGACAAAAGATGCCCTCAAAACCCCTCTTTACAGGTGATTATGAACATGCTCTACTGAAACTAAAAGCATGAAAAACCTCTCTACCCACCACCACAAAACATATTTTGCATGCTATAAAGAATTTGAGAATCAATTTAAAATATACATATAAAGGAGGCACATGCCTTTTTCTTCTCAGAGACTCGTTTTGTAGAAGGTGAACCACGTTTGCTAACAGAGCCAGCCCCGACTCTTCTTCTAACCTTCCGAACAACAGGTGAAACCTAGGATCAAACAAAATATTCAACACCTCAAAGGAACTGTAGATGAAAATAACAAACTAGAATGTATCTGGGGAAAGGATTACTGTTAACAGAAATAAATGAAGAAGTAAAAAAATGAAGTTAAAAAATTAGCTGTAAGTTGTTAGCAGATAATTTTATTTTTTTTGGGACTGAAGTGATGAGTTGTTATAAAGATTACAAGGAATTCTTAGTCTATTTATTATTTAGGGCTCTGTAATGTATTTTCAACACAAAAACACACAGAAAAACATTGTAGTGCCATTACCTGAGTCCCACTTCCAATAGCTCGTTTCTGTCGAACATACTCCATGAGGGGTGTAACAATAGGAGCTTCTTTTGCACCACCTAACAAAATAACAGAGGATTAGTTCTCAATCTTGAGCAAAACAATTTGTACCGATATTCCTTCAGTAAATGCATAACTGACCAGCTTGTTCTGCTTCCTTTCTCTCCAGCTGTATTTCTGCACTAGGAAGATGCTCAACAGGCTTTGCAATATGTTTGAGGAACTCCAAATAATCAGGATCTACATTCGCCAAGTATATAGCAGTTAGTTGAATAATCCCAATCATGTTTTAGAGTACTATCAAACTAGTCTAACTTAGCACCTTTATATATAGTCCCTTCACGGCCATCCCTTTTTGTACTAGGTTTTGGGACACGCTGTGAGGGTGCATATTCAACTATAGCCTTGAACTGAGCCCCTGGAAAGAGAAAATATATTTAGTTTCAGGCTTTAAAAACAAAATAAGAATGAAATTATAATACCAAGGTGCACATATTCTTTTACATTGCAAGAATCAAGCAATACCCAACCAGTTTCTTGACAGGAATTTCTT